TACAAGAAAGAAGGTCATTTGAGAAGATAATTGAGAATGTGCTGACGCTTGATAACATCGAATCATCTAGACATGAACAAAAATGAGGACCTGAACAGGCAACTTCATGAAGAACCTAATCGTTTTGTAACTCATTGGTTAACTTTCTGCTTCCTCGTTATCACTGACGGCTAGAGAACCGTCAGCCCTGATAAGAGTAGCAAATCTGTTTTTACAATGAACTCTAACATTGATACACTTGAATAGGGAGGGCTTGTCACGTAATTTGACAATTTTTCCCTCAATTGCACCGTTGCACTTATAGGCAAAAGTTTCCAAATGAGGAGGCAATTTCTCCATACGTTTCATCTGTATCCCTACAGCAGCAAAACGACCCTATCCAGTCGACATTTGACAGATATGAAAACTTCCAAGTACTCGCAATACCCATAATCTCTTTTGGGGATGAGTTTCTGGTCCATTACTGGAAGTCTAAGATGAAAAGTAATTGTTGCATGATTGCTGCTGCCAACTAACTGATCACATTTGTGAGTAAGAACAAGACCCAAAAGCTGTTAGGCGCTTTTGCGTCGGAGCCAAAAATAAGAGTAGAAATCTGGATTGATTACCCCTACTGGCAAACCTTGAAGTTTTGTTCAAAGGAATGCCCTACCCTTTTTGAGCAGATTTCGCAGCGCTCTTTCATTTTTTGGGTACTACATGATATAAAGCTAGAGATATATTGTTTGTATATTTGGAATATATTGTTCGCGAATTCTTTTCATCTCTACTCTCGTCGTCACTTAATAATGCTCAAAAAGGATGCAGTAGAGTCGCTGCTACTTTTTTATTGGTTCGGCCTCCTTGGCAAACATTTTCGGTAACAGATGTGAGGAAGTATTACAGGGTGGCAGTACCGCAGGATAAAACATCGTTTGTAAAGGCCAGTTCTACCCTGTCAGCCCCAAGAAATTCTACCTACTCGCTGCCAGCCCGTTCCGTGAAGACACACGGACTACGTCGTTTGACAACATTCCCATTCTTTTGTGTTATCCTATTTTGATCTGCTCTGAATTTTTTACACAATCGAGCGCCAACACGACTGAGGCGCTGAAGTGATAGTATGACTTGAGGCACAGCGGATGGCGGACAAGAACAGTTGAATGATGAGCCAGTTCGCACAGTCTGACCACAACAATTGATGTCTTCATGAATGACTTCAAATTAGTCTTAGGTGAAGGGAAATAGAGCGGGAAAGAGGAAGACAGGCGACATGCGGGAAGACAGGCCACGCGACGTCGCGTCGCACTCTGCAAACGCCGTGGGCTTGCAATGGAGCGCACACCGCGATAGTTCATTGCATTATTGTATTAGTTCATGTTCGCTTCAGGTATCAGCCACGCTCTCCGCTCTAGTAGGATCTGGACTGTCATGATCGTTAGATTTTGTTTCTTTCGCATAACTAGGACGGTTACATCGTCCTAGTCACCTGGACTCTGCTCTCTAGGTAATTCAGCTTACTTGCTGAACCGTAACCACTTGACTCAAATCTTGACTGTCACGAAGCTTTGTGGGCAGCGCACTCTCAGAGACTAAATTTGTTGTCGTATTGCACTGTATTGTTGTGTATAATTTGTCGTATTGGGGTACGACGGCTTTTCCTGGTTAAAAAAAATAGAAATGAAACGAAATGCCCTGCCGCCATTAAAAAACCATAGCGAGCGCACGCCGATCGTAACCTTGTCGCGCGCGATGCCGTGATGTTACCGTCACACATCACTCATCCCCTGTCAATCGGCGACGCTACGGCACTATCAGCTCTGCTTTCCCTCTCTCCCCTTTAATCCCGCTTCTCCGTCCTTCTTCCTGTTTTCTTTCTAGCTTCTCTGATCACAATATCGACGCTGTTAGCTGCTCAAGTACACGCGACAAGCCCCGCGCTTCCGCTGGATAGTGTGCAACTTTAAAAGAGGTAGCTGCTGTCTTCACCGCGCCCTCCTCTGCAAACTCACCCTCCAAAAGTCAGCTACAGGTTCGACAAGCGCGTTTGTGGGATTGTGGTGCAACTGAAGTTTAGCTGTGTTTAGTTTCCCTTGAGAACCATCAAGACGGTCCGACGACCCTTGCCCGACACACATGCGGCCTTCTTCCACAAATGACCTCGCAGAAAGAAGTATTCAGGAAATCAGAAATGCCACTATCACATGAAGATGCTTCAAAAGGAATAGTGTGCGGGAGGGAATCCTGCCTTTTTGATTTGTGATATTCGTGCGGTGCGCAAACTACGGGTGTATATGCTGGCTTGAGTTGACCGCTGGCGCACCAACAACGCGGATCGCTGTGTAAGCCTGATTGTAATAATCACTGAAGCTACTAGCAAGCGGTGCTAACTGTAGTTCGTCATCCTGTATGCCGGCCCACGCGGCGTCTTCTGGTATGCGTTTATTGCCCACTGCTTGCGCAGTAGACCCACAACAAAAGGAAGGAAGAAATGAAAGTCCACCTACCGGCGGCAGTGTTTTAATACTACTGCGCATCCTAAAGATCAAAGTAAACAAGACAGTTTATTTTCACAGTATCACGTGCTGGAAATGGTTATAGAGTCTTCCTATACTCCCCCGCCACAGGAAGTTCAAATTCTTGTCGTCAATCGCTTGATCTTCTTCTTCTTGCTGTGATTTTGGAACGGATAATGCAACATTTTTCAGTTCTTCGTCCTCTTGTGGTTGTGAAGTGAGTTGCAAAGTGGTCTTCAGACTTTCATTTTCCCAAGTATCTGGTTCATGTGCATTGGTGTATTCTTCTTCTATCATAGTTCTTTCAACGGTACGCGTCAGGGTAATCTCTGTGGTTTTCTCAGGTACTGTGCTTGTTGAGGATCTTGAATCTGACGGTTCACTTTTCTTCGCAGCTTCATCTCCTTGATTTGATGTACGTTTGTTGACAGTATCACCATTAGAATATGATTTTGATTTTCTATCAGCTAATGAAGTCAACCTTACCGCGCAGTCTTATTACTACCTGGGCCAGCGAATAAACAGGCAACAATAAACAAGACGGTTCATTTTCACAGTATCACGTGCTGGAAATGGTTATAGAGTCTTCTCTATACGCTGCTGTGTGATCCATTTCCACTCATAAATCAGCTTCAGTGATTGCCACGAAAAACAGCATCTAAGCGTGTAGCAGCTTTGTAGGCCAGACATCATTCAAGCTATATAGTTACGTACGAATCCACTCAATATGAGTTCTTGAAATAGTAGCTCATTTCACGACTACCTCTTTTAGAATGAACGAGACACAATGATAAAGCTTTCGTTCACAATCTATTTCATATTCTCCAGCAAAGAATACTGTTAATAGCTCGAACTGACGACAGAGCAGAAGCTTTAGAGCGCGCGGAAAGGAAACTAGCATGGCTATCCCTTAAAGGCACATTCCGCGAAAAAATGTGGCTATGACCTCTCAAATATGTCGGACGATACGAAAGGCGATTTTTGAGGCTGCGCTACCTTCAAAATGTGGAAAGCGGCAAACTTCTTGTTGCTCCAGCTAGAACATGGCTAATTAGGCCAATGGACAGCCGCCTTAGGCTCCATGCGACTCCCTCAACCGGCCTGCTAGCTACTAGCTAGTAGCCACTATGTTATCTTTTTCTATAACATTTCGGACTGCTTTTTCTGCTGCTTTCTCCGCTAATCAGATACTTAGCACTTTTCTGTGCCTATTTGAGTTCCGTTTACCGCAATTTGCGGTCGCGAACTGTGCCTTTAAAACCTAGTTGCTTACCTTGGTAGACTAACGAAGTCAACCATGCGAATCCTCCCTTGGGTTTTTCCCTGATTTTATCGATGATATTTGCAATCAGCGTTCTAGACTCTATTGGTGCATCTAGGTACAGGAATAGCTCCAAATTTCGTGGGAAGTTTTCACTCCTTCGTGAGTAGAGGACAAAATGAGACCACCTTCTTCACTGCACCATTACACCATACCAATTGCGAGAGGATATGATAAGTATACTAGCGCGACCCGTTATGCATTATCACGCAAGTCTTGCGCTGAATTATAGACACGATGCACACCGAACATAATGTTCTAGTGCATAGCACACCACTGCTGAGCAAACACACTGGACAGGTACATGTTTGCCCCAATCACCAGAGGCACATCAGAGGGAAGGAGCATGACAGTTTTATCTCTGGCAGAATACTGAAGTGGAGGCGCTGAATAGAACGACAGTGAGCATAAATAGGGCAAATTGGCAGAAACTCACTCCGGAAAGAAACACCACGGCGATTGCAATATGCTTGTAAGTGAAGTAACTTTATTTCGAAATGACGACAATCCTCAAAAAATGTCAGAAAGTTTCCCTCACAAAAATGAGAACATGTCGAAACGAAATCCTGGAACGATGTGTGAGTCTTGGGGGATGAAGACAAAAATAACAAAGTAGAAAAACATCAAACTTCAAAAAGGATAACACCCGCTGGAAAGCATCGCGATGTGCATGAAAAAAATATTTCCGTTACCAATATTGACTTTACTCTCCAGAAAGAACAAGCCGCACGAAAAATAGTCACAACGCTACCTGCCTGCTCCTTCTGACATCTGGTTGTTCTCAAATGCTGAGCGCGTGCTTCGCTGCGGACCATAGAAACAAGATGTGCTGCACTTGAGGATAGCGCGGGTGAACTACGGTGATTGTCCCGGGTACCACTGATCTACAGCCCCGCCTATGCTCTCTTGACCAGAGAAAATGGCACACTATTGCCGCTACACCCATCCCCTTGCACACGGCAAGCACCATCCTCGGACGTGAGTGTACAATTTGCCTTCGAGCTGATTGGCAGGCAGCTTTGAGATCGCCACTTTCAGACACCTACTCCCTTCTCTGTGAGAGGACCAGAGAACGATGGAACATCGACTCCGATGTCAAAAAGAGATCCGAATAGCAATATAAAGCCCATTCCGAGCGCTCAGGGAAGTGAAAGGCTGCACATAACAAAAAGGAGTGCCTGGAACTAGTTTTCATCTGAGCACTGATTGTGGACGTAATACTTAACGATATCTTCAATCTCGAGATGTTCCTCATGGTGGATATCTCTGCAGAGCCTGCATAATGCATCACTTCTATAGGTAGATGGCATACGGTAGTCCTTGGTCCATTCAAAGTATCTGAAACCGAAGCAGGGAATTACGTTCGGCAAGCAGCGTTTTTGAATGGTTGCATCAACTGTGGTAGAACGTACTTCAGATACGCAGTGTTGTTCCTGCGCAGGAAATTTAAATAATCGCCCAATTCCTTGGTACTCTTGAAATCGTCAAGAGCAATGAATGAGTTGGACGGGACGTCAGTGCCTGAAACCTTCCTTTAAAAGACATGGCATGATTCTGTTTTGAATCACAACAACTGTTGAAAGTGAAATATTATTTTGTATTGGTTGCCACGTGTTCTTGGAAAGTGGACATTTTCCATAAGTCTTCTCTCAGACAGCGT